CTTGGCTTACAAATGGAGGAGAAAGGGTGACAAAGAGGTGGCTGACTTCAAGCTCAGCACACTCACGTAGAGAAAATAGTGGCACCTAGGGTTTAGTGCCAAGTGTGCCTATTTATAGTGATTTAACACATAAACACACAGTATTAACTTTAATTGTTGCGCTTAGCATTTTAATCCCAATCTTTGGATCATGAAACTACACAATTTTCTAAGATTTATCATATTTTTCTTATATTTTTCTGCGCACCTTTCCGATACGTGCTTTTCAAAGTCAGTACCGGTTTCTAGCACCAGTTCTCATTATTTGGATTTGAAACTTGTTTTACAAGTCCTACATATTATTCTAGTAATTATCATGCACTTACTTTAATTTTCCGGGATACTTTTTCGGTACGCATTTATACCGACTAGCAGAACCGATATCTGCACTTTTCTTCCGAAAAGTGACTTTCAGCATTCTAACCCACTTATTAAGATTATTAAGCCTCATAAATAATTATAAGGGTCAATTATGGAATCATTTCCTATTTTTGCATAATTAATTAATTAAATTCCTTAATTAACGGTGCGGGTTCTTACATGCACCCCACCTTTTTAAGGATTTTGTCCTCAAAATCAGAAAACATACATGTACCGAAGCGCGGGATACTGCTAGAGAAGCCCGTCCTCACGCTCCCAAGATTACCTTTCGGGGGCGTTTGGTTGAGGGAAATTTTTTGGAATAGTAGGGAAATGAGATAGATAGAGAAATGATTGGAAAGATAGATAAAGTGAGATAGGTAGAAAAATGTAAAAAAAGTTGTTTGGTGGGGAAAAACTTTATTGGGAAAATTAGGTACCTTTTTAGGAAATGTATGTTTGGTTGGAGGTAAATATAGATGGGAAAACAATGTTCATTTACAAAAATAACCCCCATTTGATATCTTTTATTTAAATAGGACGGTACCCCACAGCTGTCAAACCCCAACGTCCTCAATACTCCTCAGATGTCAAACCCCAACGTCCCCATCTCTTTCCAACAACCAAAAAAATAAAGGGGGAAAAATAAGTCGAAGTGTGGGGTTGTTCTTTGTCTAGGGTTCCGCCAGAGAACGCAAGGGGGACGTCGAGTTGCTGTTCAACACTGAGATTAAAGCATACAAGCTGATCCCTCCCAACCAGTACACTTTAGTGATCAGAACCTACCATGGGAGCGTAACGAAAGAAAGGGGATGATAGATGAGAACCATGGCTGTATAAAAATTGGTCCACCATCGCAAGAGGTATGCTCATCGCTCTTTGATGTCATTTGTTATGGGTATCATCGCTGTTGTGGTCCATAAAATGGTGTTGAATGAATGTATAGAAGGACCGTTATCAGTGATGTTGATTATGTGTTCAACTCGTACGAAGGATTGGGTCTGAACACACATTCTATAACTTAACCGTTATAAGTGATTGGTAAGAAATATAGTTGTCAACCATGGTACTTGGTGTTTATGGAGCTAAATGAACAGGGACAGTTCCCTGCAAATAATTTTTCCACACATTCATATTATTAAAATAACTATCTCATAAGTTATAAATACACACAAGCACGTAACACTGTAATACCATAAAAATTGGTCAGATCATAAGAAGTTAGGAATGAGTTTGTTGGATTAAACTTTTGTTATGTTGAAAATAACTTAACAAATAAATAATAATGAAACTTACATTTGTTACTGTATGTTGTTATGAACCTGTTGTTGAAATATTATTGTTGGAAAATGTTTCTTTTAAACAGTTTTGGTTCATAGTATAGAAATATGAGTTGGTTTGTTGCTTGTAAGTTCAACTGAACTCGTGATCTGTGTCCTTCTTCTTACCGCAGTAACCATACATTTTTGTCAAAGTTGGTGGGAGGCATCTTGCTATACAGTACTGTATGAGCATTGACAGAAGAATGGGTGGAAGTGGGTCCGGCATAGGTGGAGGTGAAAGCCTAATATCCAGGCATTCAGCGTCCTCGTCCCCTTCCAGGGTGAAGATGTGCTATTGCGGAGTGCAGGCTGCGTTGCGCATGTCAAATACACAGAGGAATCCGGGCCGACAGTTTCTTCGATGTGCTAATTCCAGGACTCAGCATGATTGCCACTTTTTTGAGTGGTTTGACGAACCAAGTTGCAGTAATTGTCTCAAGTTCGAGAATGTTCTGAAACAACAAAATGTTTTGCTAATTGTAATTGTTATAACATTTGGGATCATCGTGACCACAATGTTGATCATCTGTTGACTTGTATTGTACTAATGTTGTGTGGATTTGTAATTTAGGGTAACCGTCGACCATGATGGCCTTGACGTACCATCTCATCTTATGGGACTGATATGTACTTGTTGTGTATTAAGAATGTAAGTATTGTATGAAATCTGTTTGTTAGCCATACGTACCATTCGAAGAATTCTGTTGCAGTTGTCATGTACACAAGTGGCAGTACAGGTCTGTAAAAGGTTTGTTTCTTCTTCATATCTTGTTACAGGTGTCCCTTTGGGTTTTTTTGTTGTTTGTATAACCTTAATTCAATTCATTGCTTCATTGAGTTTCAGCACATCCCAGAGTCTCATTGAGTTTAGGTTATGATGACTTTTGGGACTTTAAGGACGCTTCACCTGGAACCAGATTTGGCCCTCTGCAAAAACCACTTCTTTTAAGCATACACCAGAAGTAAACGAATGTCTTCTAGTGTGTCTAATTCTCTATCATCAAACTTACAGGAATTTAATTCCCTATCTTGGTGGATCATCTGAAACGTGCTCTCAAATGGCATGTTTGAAATTAGAGAATTGTGAGCTGTCCAGTGATGGAGTGAACTATGTTGTAGATGCTCTTTCTACCTTCAAAGGACCATTGAAGTCTCTTTCTGTTGCTGACAACCTCCTTGGCAGGTATGTGTGTAGACAATACTGCAGAACTCTTCTGCACTTAATTCTCTCTCCATTTGTATTTGGATTGTTTTTTCTTATATAATGAAGTAGCTGAATCTTTGGGGAAATTTTTTAGTACACCGATGGAGGTACTTGATGTTGCAGGAGTTGGATTGGTTTCATCTGGTTTCAAAGACATTCAGAAACTAATAAAGGAGGATCTTAAGCTGGTGAAAAGTAATGTAAGGTCATGGTTAATACTTAAAATTCTGCTATCGCTTTTGTTTAATCTTTCTTTTACAATCATGTGACATGTTTTCCAATTTGAACAGCAAAAACCGTGGTTCGATTGAAACTGCCATGTTTACCCGTCAAAGCTCGTCACAGGCTCCAAAACTAGTTGAAGTGAATGGCTCCAGTCATTTTTTCCCAATAGAATCACTGGCCATCATCTGCTCTGCATTAAAGTTTGGAAATGGTATTAACATTTGTTATAGTCTGTTCTATGATTGACTATTATTGGCTCTTACATACTGGCAGGTAGTAACTTTGTGTTCATTTAATTGATTAGTCGCTCAAGCATGCCCACTAAACTCCCATCTGTGGTTACTTGGATGCTAGTAGTGTCACATTATAGTCAGAGGAAGTATTGGCATAGAAACATCAGAATGAAGATTGGTAGTCCATCAGATTGGTAGTCCATCACATTATAGTGTCACAATATACTTAGTAGTCCATCAGATGCTGTGCATCCGAACACATACAATCTGTTGTATCAACTATGATCATTGGCATAGAAACAATTGTTTTGGGTTATTTTTATATGAACTTTTTTCATAGTGGTTTAGACAATATACTGCCATTGACTTCCCTTACATTTTACCAATGCAGTTATCATCAGAATTAGAGGCAATTGATAATATATGTGTTGTTATACCAATCCTAAGAAAGACATCCGTGAAGACCCATCATAGCAATCTTACAACAATAGAAGAATCATTAAGTAAGCATAATACGATTTGTCCAGGTGCCGGATTCAACCACAGGATTCCAAAATGGAATTAGAATCAGTTTTCAAGAACAATTATGACAAGAGACATTACAGAAACAGAGCATGACAGTATCATTTCTTCATTGGGGTAGATATACACTCACAGTGCAGCAAAGACTTAGTAAAGGTGCAGTGATCCATATCCAAAGCAACCCACGATGAAAGTGGTTTGATATAAGGACAAAAATGGAGTAATAGCAGATGCTTGGAGTCTTGGAGTATGTAAATGGGAAGCAATCTTTGTATTTTTAATTCCAGTATCTGTCTGTAATTTTCATTTCATGAGTGTAATGTTCCTGTCCTGTGGAGTCTGTAAATATACTAGTCCAGCTGTTGAGTCTGGAATCTTGTATTATATCAAAATTTTATGAATACAAATGTTTCTGACAATATACTCTTCCACTTGGATATGCTTTGGGTTTTGAACTTGTTTGCTGTTTTAGTGTTGGAGAATATAAGCCTAATTTGTTATAGTTATTACAAATGAGTGTGTGAAGAATGGAGTACTTAGGCCCATGTTGTCAAAAATAGAATTACATTATTACGCCCAAGATTGTCCAAACAAATCAGATCATGACAATTTTTTTGTTATAGTCAACCAACATTAATTTTTTCCTTCTTCCCCTAACTAAATAGTGAAAGAGGCAATGCCATCATAAATATGGTATGACAATCCAATTAAATCACTGTTATAAAGATTATAGTCTGCAGAATTACCAAAAACTGAATTTGTCATGCCTAATTCATAAGTGTACAAAATCACATTGTATACAAGGAAACCCACTCCCTAATTACACTATCGTAACAAAGAACAATACTTTGTTCCTTGATCAAGCTAAGTCAATATTCGGACAGGATATTACAAGGTTACATAATTACACAACAGTAACATCTTAAGATTTACAACTGCAACCAAACACTGCTACCATCCGAATGTCATAGAATCTGTATATGCTGGATCATCATATCTGCATCCTTTTTTGGTCCTGGTGTTGTTCATTAATTTTTAGGTGGTGCAGATCCAAAACCATTACCCTGGAAACCTTTTTCAATAATTCGAATGCTGTTATCCTGCAACCACATTGACAGCAACTGTATCAGCACCACAAATCTGAAAAAGACAAAGATTTAATCATATGAAGACATGAGAAGCTGTTAATATCAACTAGATCAGATGAATAAGAAAAGATGTTCGATGTATATTCATGACTTTGGCAAGTACAATGTAAAGGAAAATGGTAGGACTGGTACCTTATATCTCATAATTCACATTCAGAGCAATCACCAACAAATACACAGTTAATATACTGAGCCTGCATACAAGAAATGGGAAGAACATTCAGAATATTATATGTTAATGATTCCAATTATAGGCTTGTACTACTTCATAGCACATATTTCATCCCTGAGAACATCAAAGGCAGAACAATATTATTGCCTACCTGCAGAAACTTATAAGTTGTACACTAGTGTTTTGATTTTTGATCATTTTAAAAAACAAACCATCAAAGTCAAACTCGAAAATGGTGGATTGACTCCAATGTCAGATAACAGAACCCTATAAGAAAAACATCAAAAGCATGCACATCTATCATGATCACTTACAATTAGTTCCACCATATCTCATAAACTGATATACCATTATGCCACATCACAACCCTATTTAAGAGTGTCTGCATAAAACATTAATTTACTGACAAATAACCTGAGAACTTCAGCTAATGGATCTACCTCTTCTCATTATTGACATCAACTAAAAAGATTATAAAAACTTTACTGATTTGTGCTGTCCTATTCAGATTTAGAGGTGTAGTAACCACATTTAGCATTATGGGTAGCAGATTAATTGATAGTCACAAAACATATCAAAATCATGGCCTTCACACACCAGTTCCTTCCATCAGGTACCAGCTTCATTAGAATAAACAGCTTGTCACCTGCATAAAAATTAGAAAACAGACAAATTACATTATAGACATATGGGGTTACTAGCAGGGGGTATCACTCACAACAGTAATAAGTACAAATATGTTCAGTTCATAAACCTGTGCTGTCTATTGGTACACTTACCATACATATCAGTTATTGTTACCTTAGTACAAAAATGCTGAGTTGGTAACCTCCTGTAGCAGATCATTTGAAATGTTTCAAATTCCATACATGACACTGGATCCAGATCCAAAACAACCGATTTTCCATATTATATGTTGTGCAATGTCAGTCCATAATTTGCTGTCATTCGTTAGAGGTAGCCAAAAGTATTAACACTTTACCAAGTCTAAACCTGTCCATGCCAAAAAGTAGCCTAACCAAGCCATGCGCTATATATAGTTAAAGGCCATCAAAAAACAATGACATCAATCTATAGGGAATTACTCAGCAAGTCAGCCAGGAGACACTTCCTTTGCTGATCATTGCATTGCATGAAGACATCTGTCAGAGTTGTATCCTTTACCAACTGCACCGCAAGTTTAACCATCTGTGAATCTGTTAGACCTCCAACTTTTTCCAGTTCTTCCATAATTGACATCCGCCTTTTACTCCCATTAGCTTGATGTTGAAAGCATAAAACAAGCTTGTCTATACCGTCACGGTAGTTTTGATTGATATCTTTCATGACATCAACTATTGGAGCAACCAACGGATCTTCTGGTCTGTCACGATTCTTTCCCTTTTTGGCAGTAGCGGTAGACACATCTGAGGGCGGCACAATTTCTTCAATTGGGACTTCTGGTATCACTGGATCTGGTAACGGTGTGGGTATATAGTCCCCTGCGAGGTCTAGATACTCGTCAGATACATTCACACTCTCTGCATTGCATGCCGCATTTGCCTCCATGACATTAACTGATTGTCCCATTGTCTCTGCATTACCTCCTGTTGCTGCATCCTTGCCAAATATGGTTCCCAAAATATCATAGTGGGGGAAAGGCTTGTTGTAAAGGCCCTTTGCAGTTGGGTGAGACTGTGGATAAAAAAGTCATGTTAAAAACTGAATATAAAAAAAAATTACAAACGTACAAGGTGACATAATTGAAACACAAAACTTCAAATTATAGCACCTTAACCCAGTCATCAAATATTCCCTTCTCCACGTCAATCATTTTCTTCAAGTCATTCCACCCGAACCCACTTCCACCAGAACCTCCTGTCATTTCATAAATGGCATTGTACTGTTTTTTCAATAATTTGACCCTGGAGGTTATGTGAGGGATGGCTTTAAGCGAACAATCAGGTAACTTGAGATGCATCATCCTCTCAATTGCATTAGAGAAACCTTGTTTGAAACCGTTCTCACCTCTCCACAGATGTGCAATTTCAGTCATACATTCGACCAGGATCTTATCTTCCTCGGCAGTCCAAGTGTGGTTACGTTTGTTTCTGAAACTCTGGCTTTCATCCGTCATAATGTCGGTGTTCGTAGATTGTACCTGCGATAAACAGTTTCAAAATCATTACACTAACCATGTCAATAGTGTTCTGCCATAACATTAACACGATTTACATAAGTAACACTGCAATTGCGTAAACACCCCTTAACATAAACAAACGT